GCAATGGTTTTTCTATGTGATATACTATAGTATTTAGGCCTATACATCTCATATATCGTCACAATGCTTGACGAAAACGTAATCTGGTTTAACAGTCGGATTATTTCTCGTTTAGGGTCATCACAAACATCCGGTATAGATCACACCGATCTGTATAACCATTGCCAGTGGCGTACCTGGGGTATTCCGTCAGGGGGGGGGGGGCAAGCGATCGAAACAAAACAAAAAAGGCGATGCTAATTTTCACTTCTGGTGAGCGAGCGGGCAAAAAAATATATTTAAGTAACGTTTGGTATATAAATCGGTATTGTTGCAACTCGGGGGTGGGCACATTCATTTGTTAGCCACGTTAATTTCATTTTTGCAAGCGAGCGTAGCGAGCAAGAAAAAAATCCCTTCTTTTTTAATATTTGCCACTTAAACTTGGTCCAATTGTCCCATGCCGGGTGCGGGAACAATTATTTATATTGTGTTTAGGGTGATTTTATACCCATTTTAGCTAGCGAGCGAAAATACACCTTTCTCTTAATGAATTGCGATATAAAACTTGTTTCATTGTTGCAGGTCGGGGTGGGCACAATCGTGTGTAAGGCAATTTCAATCCCATTTTGGCGGGCAGGCAACCCCCCCCCCTACATTTCTCTTTTTAATGATATTGTAGCAAGTGGTGGGCACAATTCCACGAGCTAGCGAGCAAAAAAAATCACTTCTCTACGGTGAGAACATGGTACATAAACTTGATTTCATTGATCCAGAGACAGAGACATGATTATTTAAAGCGATGTTATTTCTATTTTGGCGAGCGAGCGTAGCGAGCGAGCCAAAAAAATTTAAGGATTTTTCGTTCATAAATTTCAGGTTTTTTTGTTGCAGGTCAGGGCTTACACAATCATGTCTAAGGTGATGTTAATTCCGTTTTGGCGAGCGAGCACACCAACACTTCTTTGAATAATGTTTGGTACATAATTATTAACTAGTAATGTTGTTGCAGGTTAGGGCGGGCACGTTAGCGATGTTAATTTCATTTTGGCGAGCGAGCGTAGCGAGCAAGAATAAAAAATAGCTTCTTTTTTTAATAATAATATTGCCAATTAAACTTGGTTCAACTGTCCTCAATGAATTGGTACATAAACTTTGTGTCTTTGTTGCAGGTCGGGGGTGGGTACAATCGTGTTTAAGCCAATGTCAATCCCATTTTGGTGGGCAGGCAAAAAAACTTAATGATGATTGGTGCATAATTTTCAGTTTTTGGTTGCAGGTCGGGGCTTACACAATCATGTTTAAGGTGATGTTAATTCCATATTGGCGAGGGAGCGTAGCTAGCGAGCAAACCAATTTTTCTTTGATTAACGTCTGGTACATAATTATCAACTGGTAATTTGTTGTAGGTTGGGGTGAGCATGTTTGTTAGCGATGTTAATTGTAAAGACAGCGTAGCAAGAGAGAATAAAACAAAAAACAAATCAACTCATATATCAATCACTAAAAATCAATCAATTCATTAATTCTGGCGAGCGAGGAAACAATATCTCTCAAAATAACGTTCGGTGCTTATTTACTGGGATTTTCGTTGCAGGCAAGGGAGCGCACATATTTTGTTAGGAATGTCAATTCCATTTTGGTGAGCGATCATAGCGATGCAAAAAAAATCAATTCTCTTTTAATAGAAATTAATACATAAACTTGTTTTTATTGGTGCAGGTCGGGATGGGCGCAATCGCGTTTAACACGATATCGATTCCTTTTTGGCGAGAGGGCGAAAAAACTCTTCCATTTTTAATGATGTTGTTGCAGGTCAAGGGTGGGTACAATTGTTTTCAAAGCAATGTCTATTTCATTTATTCACGAGCGAGCGTAGGGAGCGAGAAAAAATAATTAGTCTCTTTTAGTAACATTTGGTACATAAACTGGGTGTTATGGTTGGTTGGTTGCCATGGTTGCAGGTCGGGTCCAGTCGGGGCAGACACAATTGTATTCTAGGCAATGCTAATCCTTTTCTTTTTTTCAGGGGGACGAGCAAGTGAAAATAATTAATACAAAATAGGCTAGCAAGCAGCTCGCGCCAGCGGAATATTTTTCTGATGGGGGAGGGGGAAAGATGCATAAAAAAGTTTTTGAAGCAAAAGGAGTGAAGGGAGTTCGAGCGACCAAACTGGTTATGAGGGTACTTTTGCATTTTTCAAAAGTAGAATTGAAGGGATTTGATATAGGCCTTCACTACTTGTGAGCTTTGTTAAACATTTTCAGGAAAAAAACTGTACGTTTTCAAAATATCTGGGGTCAACTGCCCCCCCCCCCCCCCTCCGGTGCGTACGGCCATGGTCTTTTTTAAAATAATTTCCCCATTTTTTTCTTTCCTTTTCTTTTCCTCTTTCTTCCTTTTCTCTTCTTCTTCCTTTTTTTTCCTTTTCCTTTTCTCTCTTTCTTTTCTTTTTTTTCTTTTTTTTCTCTCCCTTTTCCTTTTTTCTTTTTCTTTCCTTTCTTTTCTTTTCTTTCCCTTTTTTTTTCTTTCTCCTTTTTTCCTTTCCCTACCCCCTTTTCCTTTTTTTCCCCTGGAGCCCGTCAGGGGGGGGGGGGCACTCTGCCCCCCTTGCCCCCCCCCCCCCCTCAGGTACGCCAGTGACCATTGCCCTTCCAAACAGAGACCTACGAGGCGGGGGGTGCTATGGCTGTAGCCTCCCAGAAATAACCAATATTTGTGCAATCACCAACTCGTACTTGAGCAACAGTCAGTTGAGGATGTCATAAATGATCTACTTCATGTGCTGTAAACCAGCAAAATGGTTACTCGAACCGTTCATGAGGTCATATAAAAACGGTCTTTTTAGTATTTCTATAGTTTGATTTGGTTTGATTATTTTCTGCATTTATATGAGTATGCAGTTTTTCAAAAATAGTAATACAAAATACAATGAGCATTTTTTTTACAGTGAATCATAAATAAGTAAATATATAACAAAAACGAAATGAAAAACTGTCATAAATACTAAATTTCATCCAACATTATACAAATATTTGCGGAGGAAGGACTGTCATTGTAGGCAGATTGCACGTCCATAGATTCTTATTTACTTCCGTATATAGCGCCTCACTACCTTTATATCGGAAGCTGTGTTCACCCGGTGGAATTTAAATGATCACTGTCCACACTTTGTGAGATGTATAGCCCCGCCCCCCCCCCCCCCACTCCGGGGTCGGAATGACCGCATGCGTGTTACCAAAATGTCCGGTATAGGGGTTCTTTTCACTCACCAAAGTCCGGCTCGTACATACACAAAATTGACTTTACATACCGGACTTAGGGGGTGTTTTCAAAAGGAGGGAACACGCATGTGCGTACCCTAAATAACCTTGAGTGGTGAATGGGGGGGGGGGGGGTGTATAGCAAGCTGAGATATCTTAAGAAGATAAATAAATAAATAAAGAAAAAAATATAACAATGACTAATGTTTCAGCAGAAATCAGACAAAGAATAAGGATGTTCTACGTTTTTCTTCAAATGTTGAGATCACTAATGACATAAGCAGATGATTCCCGATGAAATTCACAGAAAAAAGATAACTTTTTCATTTTTTCCTTGAAAAATGTCAAATTTCAAGTACGCCGATCAAAGGTGCGGAGCATCTTATACTTCATTTGATCTTTCACATGCTCCAGCAGAGAAAATAGGTCAGAAAACAGAAAGACCGTCGTCTAATTTACAGTAAAATTTATATTTCCTTGTACAAAGGTTTCAGCTGTGCCAAGGTGACCTATTGGTTTTTCTATTTTGTAGAAGTTACAGCAAGAAAATATATGAGGGAAATGAAAGTAGCGATGAACAAAAAGGGAACTGCTTAGGAAACATGAAATTGTGGTCACCCAAGTATATAGCCAACAGGTACACAAGATTGACCGTTAGGTGTATCAAACAAAATAGTGTGGGGGGGGGGACAAAAAGAAAACGAAATGCTCCTCAAACAATATTTGTGGCTGTGTGTGTGTGCGCGCGCTCGTGTTTATATGGGAGAGAGAGGGGCGTCGAACTCGGAACAATCGGATTTTGATTTCATGCTATCTTTCCTCTACCAATTCTCAGTTTGTTTTGTTCTAAACAGAAATAAATAAGAATCTGTGGACATTCAATAAGTGTGGCAATACAACCTTTCATTATTGTGATGTAAAGTCACCTTGTTTTAATCCTCTAAACAGGAAGTCCAAATGAAATTAGACTTATTGGAATTGACCCAAGAGAATTTTTATGTACAGGGGTAACAGGGCTGAATATCAAATATCAACTAACATTGAACCTTGTCCTCATATTAAACGGAAATTTTCAACAACGACAACAAAATAAGGAGAAACCAGGAATCGTTATTTACTTACAAAACCACTTCGAGTTACCCCTGAATTTTTTTCGCAAGTTATGACATACACCATACGTGAAATCGACCCAGCTTAAAATGAACTGGGTCATGTTTCACATAAGACTTGTTATCAATAACTTCTGCCACAAATCAACAACAAAATCGTTAACAGTTAATCAAATACAGAGATTTAAGTATACTTATAACAATGAATGTAATTTCTATATATAAGTGACAGGTGTAGGGGCACATTCAACGAAGATGGGTAGGGATTGGTGAGGGGGCTGACGCCTTTTGCTCGAATATCGACTCTTCAGTTTCTAAAATTGCCGCGGGTGAGTGAAACGCAAATTAAAAAATAGCACATTCGGGCATCTCATGCCCAGACAATGAGACGATTCGGGCACTTGCACAAAATAATATGAAGATATTTGGGCATCTCGCTGACGGAATTTGAGTTGCTGGTTGCCCAAACAGCGGAACTTTACGAAATCCCATGAGCTAAAGCCCTCCAACCCCTTGCATACGCCTATGTTTGTTACTTAAAACTAATATGAAGAAGGGCCTTCCTTGAACCACTTTCTTCTTTAGATGTGAGGTTAGTGGACAGGGGCGGTGCTGTGGGAGTCAGTGCAGGTCGCGTAGAAGTGTACAGCGACCTCGGACCCGGAAGTGCAACCTGGGCAAGACTTTGTGAGGCAGGGTGGAATTCAGATGTCGCCTCTGTTGTCTGTCGGCAACTTGGTTTCGACGGTGTGCAGAGATTCTATAGCAGCTTGGCACCAAGACGGCCAAAGTCGATCATACGGCTCAACAGGTGTAATTCGAATACTGGTAGGCTATTTGATATATATAGTGCATGACGTGGAAAAGCTTTTCAGAAATCATGTCAACCTTATGTAAAATTAGTTTGTCTATGTTTCCATGAAGGAACAAACAAATAAATTCAATTTTAAAAATCGAAGCAAAAAAAAGGGGGGGGGGGAAAAGGGAGTTCCGGAACTTGTTGGACTTAAAAACATTTCCCCAGGAATTAATTTCGTCACTCCTCCCAAGATCCGGGATTTAAGGGGGGGGGGGGTGTTTGTTGGACGTATACTAGCGTTTTAAAAGTTTATCTTGATGCTTGACTCTTTTGATGCTTAACTCGGTTTGGGCGGGGCGATCCCATTTGGACTCCTGAATCCCGAAGGCCGATATTTTGCTTTAATTGGCACTTTTAGATTCGCACGAAGACAATGGGGAATGCTACGATCGACGTCACACGTATCACCCCACGCAAATCTAAAAGTCCCTAATATTAGGTCCTACTTGTTCGCATCTATTTTTAATCTGTTATTCCCCAAATGCGGAAACATGCGGAGATTATACCTGTTCTAAAGTCTTATTTACCTACAATTAAAAAGTAAAGACCAATTGCATTAACTTCAGAGTTTGCGAAGACTGCAGAATCGTTTATTGCAAAATGGCTGTGGGAGGACATTTCCAACAAAATAGATCGAAATCAATAATTTGGAAATAGACGAAACCTATAACATCCAAATCTGTACCAAAACCTTGATTGTATATTATTGCTACTGAACCACTCCCATCAAGCATTCCGGAAACTCCTACCATCTTTTCTTTTTATTCTGTTCTTCACTCTCCTGATTTAAATGAAATCAGTAGGACCATGATGAAATCCACCACCCTCTTTCTTTCTCTCTTAAATATCCAATATCACCTTTTATTTGCTTACAGTACTTACCTTTCCAGAAACACACACTTTTATTTGCCTTGACCTTTATACTACCGTGCAATATTGTTTCATTGAGAACAAATGTGTAATTGTATGCAATGATAGTGCTTTGAGCAACAGTCTTGTGTATGCTTTATGAATAATGCTATCAATGTTATCTTATTTATGTATCTCTTACATTCAGTTGTACATGTTTTCATATTGTTTGAATTTGTATATAAATTGTATTTCACTTTCACTTTAAGAATGAACAATTCAGTTTGTGACTGCAAGTCATGCTTTAATCAATTTTGATTGAAGTTAATTGAATCGGTAATCACACCTAGGAGCTGTTAAAGAGAAGGTTGAGTTCTGGGAAGAGGTGAAAATAATTTGTGAGCGTTATCATTCTTATTATGCAAGTGTGGAAGAACATCAGATAAGACATGTTCCCTGAAAAGCATGGCTCTTCAGATGCCTTCATATTCTAAATATGTCATGTAACATCGTAAAATCCAGGGTAGGATTTTTACGCCACGTGTTCGTGTAGTCCCATATACATCTTTCTGTGTACAGTGTTTGTAACTTTACCAAGACTTGGCAACATTTCTTATCATTTTGATGATTCCAGAACCTTGCAATACACACAAATTCTTGATGATCAACCTTTTCTGGATTCCACACCGTTGCTTTCACAAGGCAATCGCATGACCAGAACTCAACTTCATCTTTAACCACGAAACTTCTTTTTCTGTGTGTGATATAATGGTTTTTATTATGTTGTGAACATGATATCTAAATGTTTCTGAAATTGAATTCATTTCATGACAGATGCGACAAGTATTGGGGAAGCTGGTTGTCAACAGTCTCCGTGTAGAGGCCGAAGACGCGATGCTAGTGTCGACTGTCTCGTGCGTCCAAGTAAGTTTGTTTGAAATCGAACCAACGACCTTCGCATCTCTTAGTGTTCAAACCTCTCGACTGCGACACCCCTAATAATATAGATTACAATTATGCAATAACATTATAATATATCCTTTATAATCTATAATTATAACTATAAGAGGGCAAAATATCACAAGATATATGACCCGGGGAGGGGGTGGGCTGGGCACAGTGCCCCAAGTTTTCAAGTACCGAAAAGTGCCCCTTTCTACTTCAGATAAGTGCCCATTTTTTCCTTTCTAAAAAGTGTCCTTCTCCTTATAAATGCCCCCTTTATTCCTCTAATAAACGCCCTCAAATATTATGTTCCCCTTGTTACTTTCGATTTAAAATGCCTTTGATAAGTGCTCCTTTTCTCCTTAATTTTCCACTATATCGCTTCCAAAATTGAGTCATTTTGTGGTCATCAAAAATAGCCACATTAGTTTCAAAGAATCAGAGAAGCTTTGTTTATTAACGGGAATGTTTTTCTTCTACCACCATAATACAAGGCAGTGGAGCCAAGGGGATGGGGCGGGGCCAGGAGGCACGATTCCTCAAATTTCATTAGTACGATCTGACCCCTTTTTAAAAAGAAAAATAGAATAATCTTGCTTGTTTTCAAAACTATCAAAATGTCCCTTCTGTAGATTATATGAAAAATGTGCCCTTGTTCCACCAAAATACTTGTCCCTGTAAAATACCCTGACATATTCTTTTCGATTGCTAAAGAGGCATCTTCCAACTCTTGAAGGAGGGGTCCTTACTGCAACCTGGCAGTTATTTGTATTGTGATCATTTCCGAGGTCAGCGCAAGAAATTCATGCTAGGATGCCTTTTTATGATAAACACAAACAAAATTACATTAAAAAACCCCAAAATTTCTCAATATTTTTGGAGCAGGTACCCCAATGCTTCCACAGGACAATAAAAACCCAACTCCGGTTACCGCAACAACATCTACTGTCCAAGTCCAGACGACGCGAACGACAAAGTCGTCAACGATTTTGGAGGCAACATCGACCGTATCGACGACCTTGGCAATTACATCAACGACAAAGAATGTCGAGGTCGTGACGAGTGATTTAATGTCAACAAATTCATACATTACTCGTGATCGACTACCACGGAAGGGTAAGTTTAGGAAAAAAATTAAACCACGGTGATGATGATGATGTAAATACTATAAATAATACATCAATACAGTCTGCTGAAATAATTAGTGCCTTTCTGGATACATTTTTGATATTCGCCACTTTTTATATAATAATGGCCTTTTCTCGCTGTTCTTGGTTTTAGAAATGCACCAACCGCTTGATCCAAGTCGGTCTTTGACACCAAGTCTGAAGTGGACAGACTAACTGCTAATTAGTTATAATATTTCCAGACTCGGTATAATCCGATTTCACTGGCAAAAGTGAAGAACATAGACAATTTTTTTTTTTAAATGGCGAAAGCTGGAAAAGTGACACAATTATCGAGATTCGATAAGAAAATCACATTGCCATATATAACTTTCCAGTATTCTTTGCTAACAAGTATTTAATTTTTTTCTTCTCCATCTGCAGATCTTAATGTTGCCGCAATATACATTGGAGTGATACTTTCCTGTTTTATCATCGCCATCATTGTTATCATTATATTTCTTCGTTATTGGTAAGTCACACTGATTTGTCGATGTATTTGTTCAATTCTAAATATGTGGATTATTGATCAAGTCAGTGAGCAATATAAGATGTGTAAATCAGTACATATTACAAGGAAGAAGTAATAGGAGAATGTCAGGCTTCCTGGGAGCCTAACTCGTTTTTTTTTAATTACAAGACTGAACTACAAGATCGAGCAAGCGATCTTTACTTACTGCATGGGTGCAAGCCAAAAAGTTCTTACAAAATAATGGGAGATTAATCTTTACACTACATTTTTTCTGTAAGCTATCCAAAAGTACCTGCAAACTAGAACAACTTGTCAAAATTCAAATCGGCAATGAAATAATATGTTGTCTTCCTTGAATAATCAAACTGCTTAAATCTGTTTAATTATATTAATCAAAACCTTCTTTCATATTTCAATTCACATTTTGAAGAAAAATAATATATCGCTTTTCCAAAACATCCTCCATTGAGAAGTGAATTATTATAACACCATTTACTTTGATCTGCTCTCTCGATCATTATGTTAGGTGCAAAAGGAAGATCACGAATACCAAACAAACAGGCAGAACTGGAGGAGGTTCGGATGATAGAGAACACAACTTTCAAAACAATGAATACCAGTACAATGGAGTTAGAACTGTCGAAAATGGGCCGAGAATTTCATCGAATATTTCTGGTGAGGAATACCAGTACTCGCCCATTGGACCTTCCAATAATGGCACGGACGTCATACCAACAGTTCCAAAACAAGATTCCGTCGACGAATACCAGTACTCGGCCGTTGGACCTATTCAAAATGGCGTCGATGTCAACCCAAGGGTTCCAAAACAAGATTCCGTCGATGAGTACCAGTACTCCGCCGTTGGACCTATTCAAAACGGCGTCGATGTCAATCCAAGTGTTCTTAATCAAGGTTCCGTCGATGAGTACCAGTACTCCGCCGTTGGGTCAATGCAAAATGGCACCGATGTCAACCCAAGGGTTCCTAAACAAGATTCCGTCGATGAGTACCAGTACTCCGCCGTTGGGCCAATGCAAAATGGCACCGATGTCAACCCAAGGGTTCCTAAACAAGATTCCGTCGATGAGTACCAGTACTCCGCCGTTGGGCCAATGCAAAATGGCACCGATGTCAACCCAAGGGTTCCTAAACAAGATTCCATCGATGAGTACCAGTACTCCGCCGTTGGGCCAATGCAAAATGGCACCGATGTCAACCCAAGTGTTCCTAAACAAGACTCCGGGAAGATGAGTTCTACTCTCCAGTTGGTGCTATCTCCAGCGACACTCTTACTCCAAAAGCCACCGCATTCTCCAACGTTTGTACCGATGAGAGCTTCTATACCATTCCTGATAGATCCGAAGTAAATCCGTACCAAGAACTCGCTGTCAAAACGTCGGCATTTGCTGGCTTGCAGAAGCTAAGAAAGAAGCCAGCTCTGGAACAAAATACGCAACGGGCACCAGAAATTAAGGTGGCAAAGCAACCGCCTGTCAAGCCAAAGAAGTCACAGACACCGACTAATGATACTCCCGTGCAGATATCTGGAAAACCTCACCTACCTACAGAGGTGGATAATATCGTGTACGGGCTTGAAGTGCTCGGCGAACAGAACGCGTGTGCCGTGTCGTCACTTGCCGATGGACGAACCGACGACCAGTGTGAATCCATATACGCAGTTGACATCGAACTACGAGAGATATCCCCTTCCGGCACTTCAGTAGCTATCTATAGAGACTATTCCATCAATAGAGGTATTAAAATTACTGATGGAGAGAATCCATATGAAAATTCGATAATTGGCGATCAATCTTTTCTGCAAGACGATGACGAAAGCGATTATCACGCTTTAAGTAGAAAGGCAACCTTACCTGTGTGATTAGAAAGTTGTACGACACAATAATATTGTTCCTTTAACAGCTGTTGGCCTGATTGGCTCTATGATTATTATTTTTTTTGATTTTTGTTGTTCGGATTTTGTTTAAATTTTTTTTTTACCTGACTGCTAATTGTTTAGGTGTATAGGCTATGTTCGAAAGTAGTATTCTTGACTTTTCGGGTAGAGCCAGTCGTCTGTATGGTTTCGCTGATCTCTTATATTCGAGTGCAGCCGGCAAACTTCTTGTATATTGTGGCACGGGTTGTCAACTTCGAATTTTGCCAAACTTCCTGTACTTGACCTTGTTTAAATTGGCAAAAAGGAATGATGCTGGATATAAACTTAAAGTTCCACACGCTCTAGTCTCGTCTAGTTTCTTCATCGACATGTCTCAATTTCAGTCTCACTCACTAGCATTCGACTTACACTGCGCATCTCACGATGTTGACGTCCAAAAAGCACATCATTTATCAGTCCAAAATGTGCCTTACACGTATACTTTATTCGTCCCAATTATCACGATGATGTACAGTGGCTAATCATGAAAAGTACCGGTATGTCATAAAAGAGCAAGAGAATAGTGTTGTAGTAGGTTGAAACAGGGGCGTACACAGGGGGGGGGGGGGGGGGGGTTTGGGGGTTCAAACCCCCCCCCTTTGGTATTTTTATGTGTGTAAACCCCCTAAAAAAAACCAAAACCCCCCCCCCCTGTGTACGCCCCTTTTAATTATTAAAAAAAAAAAAAAAAAAAGTATACCCACGGTTAACCTAAAAAGGTGACCTTACCCCCCCCCCCCCCAACGAAGAAAAATGTCAAATTTTGAAATTTCGAGACCAAAAAAAAAAAAAAAGTGTCCGCTTGCCCCCCCCCCCCCCCCACCCCCCCCCCCCCCCCCCCCACTGAGCGACTTTTTCGGCTGGCTGAGTCGTTGCGATTTTTTTGGACTCCCCCCCCCAAAAAAAAGTGTCCGCCCCCCCCCCCCCCCCCCCCCCCCCCCCCCCCCCCCCCCACTGAGCGACTTTTCGGCCGGCGCGATTTTCAAATTTTCGGGAGCAAAACCCCCCCCCCCCCCTTGAAAAAATCCTGCGTACGCCCCTGGGTTAAAAACTGTTATGCTTTCCATCTCCATGGCACATCTTCCCCTTCCATCTTGTTAACTTGCACAAATTTATATAACCTTCACCGTAGATGGCGTTAACCTAATAGTTTGTATCAACACGGGTTCTAGGACACCTACCCCCTGGACATCCGCCCCTGGATAACCACCCCAGTCAACAACCCCCTAGGACAACTACCCACTAGGGCAACCATCCTCGAGGACAACTAACCCTGGGACAACTACCCCCCCCCCCCCCCCTCCGCAGTAAACTACCCCTAGGACAACTACCCAGGACAACAACCCCCCAGACAACTACCCCTAGGACAACTACCCCCCGGACAACAACCCCCAGACAACTACCCCCTACGACAATCATCCTCTAGGACAACTACCCCCGGTCAACTATCCTATAGGCGGTAGTTGTTTGGGGGGTAGTTGACCTGGGGGGGGGGGAGGGGTAGTTGTCTGGGGGTAGTTATCCGGGGGGGGGAGTTGTCCCGGGGGTAGTCGTCCTAGAGGGTGGTTGCCCTAGGGGGGTAGTTGTCTATTGTATATTGTTCATGTGCGTTACGTAATTCCAACAACTGAATTTCCAAATGGACCAATAAAATTAATCTGAATCTGAATCTAATAGGGGGTAGTTGTCCTAGGGGTAGCTGAGTGGCGGATCCAGGGGGGGGGGGGGGGCGGGGCCTTCAAAAAATGGCCAATTTGTTGCTGATTGTTTGCAATTGGTTTACATCAATATTTTACTGCAATTGCAAGGTTTATTGAGGAGCCGCGAGTGAATTAATTTTTAGTTCTAGAAGGGGGCAAACTATTCTGTTCATATATTCATTAAATGGAGGTCCTGCATCATTCTATAAACTTAAGACCTAAAACGTGCGATCATCAAGGGTTTATAAATTGAATACCATAGTATCGAGACTTCGCATTCAGGAGACTGGATTTCCAACGACTGTGTAGATGTGGCTGTGTTCGGGAAGGGAGGTTGGTGGGGGAGGGGGGGGGGGGATTTGTGGAGTTTGAGAAACTTTGGGTATGGAGGGGATAGGTAAGATTGTATGTGTGTCTGAGTATGTGAGCGTGTGTCTGTGCGTGTGTGTGTCTGTGCGTGAGGCTCTTTTTTGGAAATATTTTTCATTCAGTGCATAGTATATTGTTATAAATGAGTAATAACTTATAACTGAATAATAATTTTGTTATGTTTCTGTGATAATTAGTAACTAAACGTATAACTAAACATATGGTTTGTTATGCATTTGTAATAGTTTGAGATGTAACAATTGAATATTTGTTAATATATATTTCATTTATGTTAAAGTAGTGTGACTCCAATATCTTGTAATATTATGACAAATTATGTATATATTACCATACTGTTATTATTCCTTGTGCATTGAATGAACAATAAAATAAAGTTTTAAAAAAAAATACAGTCAACGGATGGGTATTTTCTTTTACAGCTGAGGGGGAGGGGGGGGGGGGCGCAGAACACTTTCCGCGGGCTGTATATAACCACCTACCCCTTTTAATTTTAATTTTAATTTTGGCCATTACAAGAATTGGGTTATTGATATAGACAACTGCTCATGTACCCTTTATAGCTCATTTTATGTATGTAATTACCAAAGAAAGAAAAAAAGCCAGTCAGTCACTCAATAGTGTCTGACAGTGAAGTCTAGCAAGTAAATTGAATATTAGGACACTGCTTGCGTTTAAATTTCACAGATAGGACATATGTGACATATTAATAATTCCTGCAAAGTTCTACAGACTTTGATGTTGGCTGCAAAAGGGACATATTTGAAATGAAGATCAAAAGGAAACGAATCAGAATTATATAGTTAATTGAATCAATTTAGGACAACACGATAGACAACGTTTATGTATATCTTATAATTTATTATTTCCTTCTTAGGTTGAGTTCCTTTAAAGGGGCCGTGGGCGTTACGTGTACACCCCCGTTCCAAGGCCCCCTTTTATTTTATTTTTCTTCTTAGAGCGTTCTTTGGTCAAGTTGGACCAGATACCAAATTGCCAATATATTTTCACCCCCCTTGTAAGAAAGCAGGCAAAAAAGAAAAGGGGACTTGACCGGGAAGTTCGAGAAAGTTTTAGTACGTTAGAACTAGAAGAGGAATACAAAAAAAAAGGTTAGCATTTTTTTAAAAGTTACAAGAAAATCTTGTTGAGGTGTCATTTCCCCATACATTCCTCTATCAACACCCCTGGGCTAGGGAGACCCCCAAGCGACTTCCAAAGTGGGGGGGGGGGCACCAACAAAAGGGACACTTTTTTTAGGAAAAGGGTGCCTACAGCGGGAAATCTCAAAGCGAAAATATTTTTTTTTAGACATTGGTATATACCCCTATAATTGTAATTACATTATCAGGGATGATTTCAATAATTTTGTTTCTCTTTATACATCATAAAATATATTGCTTTAGCATTGTACTTTGCAGTAAACAGTATATTGCTAAAGCTGTTAAGCATTGTACTTTGCAGTCTGATGGTGTGATGTCTGAATATTCATTTGCGAGCGAGGACAATTTTTAAGATTTGTGAGGTCGCAGTGCGAAAAATTACATCTTATAAAGAGGAAAAACACAATCCTGATGAGGTTATAAGCACATTCTTGTAACGGAAGACTGAAATTACCTTTGATAAGTAACATAACTATATCATTTATAAATGCGAGCGAGCGTCGCGAGCGAGCTTTGGGGAAAATTGATCTTAATCGGTTTAAATTAAGGGCACGTTTAATGATGAGAGGAAAAAGGGAAACCGACGCCGGCTGGCAGAAGGGCGTTAGCGCGCGAGCGACTCGATGACTTCTTTACGAATTATTCTCATTTAAAGATTTGTTTTATAGCCTAGTTTAACTGATTTCTTTCCCGAAAACGGTCACATTTTTTTCTCGGAAATAAGTCAGTTTTATAAAAGTTTGAGGCGATTTAGTGCTAACGCCCTTCTGCTTAGCGCTTCATTTTTTACCTGAAATTCGAGCTAACGCTCTTCTGCCAGCCAGGCGAGGGATGAATTAAGACACTTATTAGAAAAGAAAAGGAGCACGTGTCAAAGTACAAAGGGTAATCAACAAACTGAGGTAAAAATAAGGCACTTAATTCTTATACCTGGAAAGAGGCACTCACCAGCAGGCCCGTAGCAAGAGTTTGATGTTTGTGGGGGTGGGGGCACACACATGTAATCGATCGAGGTAACAAAAGGGGTCTAAAAAATTTAAACCGATCTTGGAATTTTTTTTTTTTTGGGGGGGGGGGGGGGGGGGGCACGTGCCCCCCCCCCCCCCCCCGCGTGGCTACGTGCCTGCCCGTGATGAAAACATGCACTTGCACCATGCACGAGAATGGGAATGGGCATTTCTTGACGGAAATGGGGCACGTATCATTGTCAAAAGGAAAATTACCAGAGGTGAAAAGGGGCACTTATCGCATCTGAAAAGGGGGCACTGACTAGATATAAAATGTGGCACTTATTTATAATAAAGGAAAATTTGCATTTTTTGAAAGAAAAGGGGCATTTATGAGAAAGAGAAGGCGCTCTTTTTTTTTTAACGGGGCTCTTATCACAAGTAAAAGGGGCACCTCTCAGATTTGACAAGGGCATTTATCAGAGGTGAATGGGGCACTCATCAAAAGTGAAAAGGGGCACCTCTCGTACCTGAAACGGGGCACTTAGGCTATATATGAAAGGCGCGCTTATGAGAATGGAAAAATTGACAATAATTGAAAAGGAAAAAAGGGAAAATTGACGAAGGAAAAGGGGCACGTGTCCAAAAAAGGGGCAGTTATCAGAGGTAAAAAGTGGAGGGGCATTTTATTATGGAATTGGGGCACTTCTCCACGTAGAAGGGGCACTATAATTCCCATGTAAAAAGGGGCAATTCTTACAAAGTTAAAGGGACACTTTTCGTATGTAAAAAATGGGCACTTTTTGGGTACTTGAAAAATTTGGGGCACTGTGCCCATCCCCCCCCCCCCCTCCCTGCCCCCCCCCCGGGAGGGTCACCTCTGCCCCCGCATACCCCAAACCTATGGCTGATAAGTTTTCATGTCGAAATCGTTACCAAAAGGCGTGTCATAATTTTACCAGGGCCCATGCATACAGAGAATCAGCAGCACGTGTGGGATCGGGACGAATGACACTGCACGCATAATTCAACCAGCCACAATATCCCGCTTTATCGCTACTACCACTAGAGCTAGCTAGAGTTGCCCGTCCTGCCCGGCTGCGATCCGCTCTCTGAATCTGGTGGTGGGGCATATCTGTAATATCTTAATCACGACGCCTGCCAGTCAACTTTTTGTTGTTGCATAGCCGTACAGGAAATCGGAACTCTGGTAAGGTATGTAGACCTCTATGCCTCTAAACTAAGCCTCCTTTTCTGTACAAATGCCGGTTTAAAGGCGGTAACGTAAGACTTTTGTACATATTTTGGTAATTACTTCAAAGTCAAGTCAAAACAAAAG